CCTTTTTCAGTAAGAAGTACTCAAGATTCTCTGATGCATGACTAAACTGCATGATAAATATCACTGGAATACTAGGTATTCTCCATTATAACAAAAGTCATGGTGAAGCAGATAAAGCTAGAAATCTTCTTTGTCTAAAGAATTCAGTAAAGCAGATCCCACCCCAATTTCTGAGATTTTTGAAAGACAAATTCCCTCTCCCCATGACATTATTTTTTGAAACTTACACTCTCATATTTATTTCTGACTCTGAGCTTTTGCTTATGCTGCATTATTTCGGTTTAGAAATGGTCTCCCCATCTCATATGCACTGTACCTGGCCCAAGCAGATAGTGTATGCTGCCCTTGCAAGTTAATATCTTCAAGAAAAATATGTTTGAGGGTAACAAACTTTATTAAATTTTTTTTTAAATCAAGACCCTTGACCCAAAAAGGCATTAAGTTATTTTTATGCATCTTTGGTGCATAAAGCAAAGTGGGTAGGAATTCAGTTTTAGAATCAGTGTGCCTGAGGTACAACCCTGATTCTACCACTGTAATGAATCAGTGTTTTCCTGACCTTGAGAAAGTTATTTCATGTTTCCGGGGTTCCGTTTTTTAAAAGTAAAATTAAATGATAATAGCACCTACCTAATGGGATTATTTTGAGGGAGATTATATCCACTAATTCACATATATTATGTAGAATTTTCTAATAAATGGTAAGTATTCAATAAAGTTACTAATATATTTAAAGGCCTTGACCATTTGCAAGCTCATGCTTGCACGACTCTATGTCCCTTTATGTTTTCAGCATCTTGCTCCATTCCCTTGCCAAAGTCTTATTTTAGTGTTTTATTATTTTGCTTAATACAGAGCAGTCCTACCATTAGTTGTGACCTTAACAATATGTCATCAATAGCCTTTGAAGCTATTATTCCAATAGCTTCTCAAGGCAATTTCCTAAACCAAGACATATTTCTCTCTGAAAGGAATTCTTAAAAACAACAAATACATACAATATATATTATATGCACACAAACATATGCATCTCGGAGTTACAATGCATACATGTATCTGTTGCTTTCAGAATTCTGTGTTAAATAGACATAACACATATCAATATTTTGACCCAAATTAGCTGCACACCTTTGAAAGTGATATGCCAATGAGTCAAAACATAGTGATTGATAAAAATGACTTTTGCTCAAGGTTACTCACTGAATAAGTGCAGATCAAAGGATCCTAATAAGACTCTATGTGGTTCCCAAAGCCCAAGTTCCTGCTAATATCTCTGGCCAGTTTTCTGTGTGACCTTATTTAATCTTCACAGCCCTCCAATGAGGTAGAAGTATTCATTGTCATCACTTTTTCTAAGTGAAGAGACTAAGGCTTAAAGAAGGTGAGTTGACCATGATCAGATCACAGTAAGAGAGCCTATCAGACACTTGGACTCAAGAATGTTCTGAAGATCTGCTTTGTAATAATTATATTGTAATAGCTCCCATCCCAAAATAAAAGATTTCAGAAAGTCCAATGATGCAAGCTAAACACAGTTAAGATGCTTTGTTCTAATACATGCTACTTAGAGCTTCAATTTAAAAGAAAACAATTCTCGAAAAGAAACTCATAGGAATCTATGGGCATGATAGCAGTTCATGAAATGTAGTGTTAAAAGGCATTCGCCTTCCTGTTGATTCATAAGATGCAGATGAAGGTTATTGTCAAAATCAAGTGGGAGAAGCTATTTATTTATAGAGGGGAAAAATAAGAGCTTTTCTCTAGAATACTGTTAATGTAAGGAGAATCAGGAGAACAAGACAGGCAGTCTTTAAAAAAAAATCCCAGCTAAAGATGGAGCTTAATTTTTTTTAAGCACAAGAAGAAAAAGAAATCAGTCTCTCTGCCCCCCCTCGTGTGTGTGTGTGTGTGTGTGTGTGTGTGTGTGTGAGAGAGAGAGAGAGAGAGAGAGAGAGAGAGAGAGAGAGAGAGAAAGCTCCTCCTGACTGCACACCCTCCCACCTTATGCAGCTGGTGACTTGCAGCCTTTTGAAGAAGAGCAGAATGTGACGATTACTAGTTAGCATTCTCGGCTGGAGACTGGTCTCACACAGAGGCGACCCAGTGATGCAGGAAACACCATTTAATGCCCTGGAGAAGTGCATGAGGGTCCGCAATTTTATTAAGCTTTGGGGACGAAAATTGTGATCCCGCATTCCTGATGTAGAGCCACTTGGGGCTCCGAGAGCTCCACCCCTGTGTTCCAGAGGACAGTACTGCTGCATGCTCTCTGCCTGATCTGACAGCGACGCAGCTTCCCAATGCTGCGCCTGGGAGGTGGTGCAATACTTCCAAATTGCCTGAGAAGAGTGTCCATCTGCTGGGGTGCCTGACTTTTTGGAACCATCGGGAGGAGTTTGGCTTTTCATATGAGTAATTTAAGATTTTGTTTTGTAACTTGAAATCGCCACTTGATTCAAAATAAAAGTAGCACACTCAATTTTGTAGATACCAAGAAAACCCGTACGACGAAGTACAGTCTAGAAATTCTTGATTAAAATTCCACTGGGGGAAGGGGAAAGCAAGTTTTTGATTCCAGGCAGTAGACTCAAAGGTCTGTCTTTAAAAGGACATGTGGGGTCTGGAGATGAAAAGGGGCTGCGCAAAATACAGGAGCAATCGGCCGGGCAAGGAGTTGTGCCAGAGCAGCTGCTCCAGCAGCTCCCTGGAGAGGAATCCCCTCCTCCCCCGCCGCCCGTTCCTGCCCCTTTCGCTCCCGCCCTTTGACCCCAGGAGCTCTCCACACCCCGCTTCCACACTGTGACAGTCTTTATGGGGCAGGAAGGCTGCGGTATCACAGCGGAGGAAAAATCTCTGAGGGGTGAGCCATTGAGGTGGGCGTCTGGGTGCCGAGCAGAGCAATCTGGCTCTGTGAACCGCAGGCCGGGGTGAGGTAACAGCTGGAAGTGAGAGGCCGGATCACCTGGCAGCCACGGGATGAGTCCACCCAGCCGACCCCACCCGGGGCGCCAGCCTCCCGTGCGGAATTCTTATTGGCCGGTGTATACGGGGGGCGGAGCCTCGAGCAAGTCCCGCCCACTGTCCTCCGCAGCCGAGGCGCTCGGTTCCCCCTCGTCGGGGCCCGGAACTGGGCTCAGTCTCCGACTCGGTCTTGCAGCGCCTCTAGGCTGCGGCTCGGCGCTCCAGCCACCTGCTCGGCGCGGCATAGAGGGTGGCGGGGAGGAGAAAGGAGGAAGA